ATATGCCTCACTCACCCTTAGGATCACATTAGGCGATTGAATGCGTTGCGCCTGTCCCCGGTACATACATGCGCATGCCTGAAAGGGACAGAAAGTACAAAACCTCGAACGTCCGCGGTTAACTCAGTCCACTTTATCCGAGTATTATTTTTTACACCATTAAAACATGAGGGGGCGAAGAATTTCATAGCCAAAACTATGTATTTACCTTCAAGCATGGCACAAAGTTTTCTCCGTTGAAACCCTCCTTTTCGAGCCACAATCTTACAAAAGAGCGTGTCGCTTGACATCTATTATCGCTGTCCACCATGATTTCCAGACAACATGTTAGATATTTCAATGGTAGCAAAAATCGATCGAAATCAAAGCAATAATGGAACCCTTGGAACACCTCGATCATTCACTACTTCCATAGCACTTCCTACGCAACTTCGGGTTTTCTTGAATTCAGCTAACACACGGTTAAAAGACCATCATAGCAAGTTGTAAAACAAAAGGAAAAATATGCATATGAAGCAGGTAAAGAATGAATGATTGAACAAATAATAATAATAATAATAATAACAGGAATGGATGAAGGAAGGAAGGGATGAGTGAGTGAATGAATGACTGTCTAAGTGCTTTGTTTTTACAAAAATATTACAAACTGGCGGCTTTAAATGTTACGTCGACCGTAATGCCTGAAAACTCCTTTTCCTTCCAACAATTTTTTCTTTACGATTTGTTAAGTTTACAGAAATAATGTTCATCGATCACCAAACGGAAGATAGAGCCTGCTTCAAGCGACGTGAGAGTCAACCCATTATGGCCACTGAGAATTATGGGAAAACTGCCGATACCTTTGGCTTGTGGGACAGTGTGGGAACAGACAACGCTTACTCCTATCAGCTGTTAATCTGCGATCACTCATTCTATTCCGGCTTCTTTGTTTCTGGTTTCACGAGTAGTTGTTTCAAGTTCTGCGGTTCGTGGTGCGGTGATATATACTCGCCATTTTTCCGTACAGCATCCACCAGCCCCTCTTACAAGGGTGTGGCCTTTAACATCAATGGTCATAAACCATTGGACAACAGGCTTATTAGTGTCGGTGTGCGATGACATGATTGAAACATCAGCTTTGTCTGTTGTAATTTCCATATCAATCTTGCCCATTCTTAGTTTATTTATTCAGTTTATTTAACCTTTTAGGTTTCCTTCGAGTTGAAGGCAATTTTATACTGAAATTCTGCTACAAGCCGAAATACTAGAAAATGTCACGTTATAAAAGTGGACTAATAAATCCCTTGTTCGATGGTATAGCGCGGTTTTCATTTGAGTGTCGAAAAGTAATTGGTTTTGCTCTTTCCACGCTACACGATTGGCTTAAAAAACTCGCGCCACTTTTTCATCCAATCAGAAGTAC